TCGCCGCCGCATCCCCGCCATTATTCGCCCATTAAGACTGTTCCGACACGCTCCGAAACTGATCGGATCGAAGTTGAATTTACATGATCGCGACCACTGGCAACTGGGCCAACGTGATCGACATTCTATGATGAGCCAATGCGCGCGGCCAATGCAAAATACAGTTTTAATCTCCGCGACGGTTTATCATTTACCAACGGCGAGACCCCCCAGTGCATCAAACGCTAATTTATGCTATCGCGCACGTCCGAATTCCGCGGCTACAATCGACAACGAAATAAGCTGCAATACAAACACGATGCATATATACGTGCTTTGTGTACGAGTGTGTGCGCGCGTGTGTGTGTGTGTATACGAAGAACCCATTTGGTCGGGCCCTCCCCCACCGCGCCTCGGTGTTGGCGCTATCTTTCCTCCGAATTGCGAATCTATGCAAATCATACCAGTGGAGTCTTCCATAAAGAGACGCTTTTATTTAAAAGGGGGGAAAAAAGCGGGAGATTAATGCATAGAATCGGCAAACGAGCCACGGACTGTATTTATAAAGCTCTCTTTCGAGTTCCGCGATACACCTATCGCGCCGGAATTGCGACGGGGCACGCAAAAATGCTAACTACGCACGGCGGTAATATCGGAATATCGCCGTTTCACCGCATCGATACATATTTTAAAGTCGGCGCTCGCGCTATTTTGCGGATATATCGAAATAAGCTCCGCGCGTGAAAAAAGAAAAACATTACTCGTCTCTGGAAGCGAAAGAGAGAGAGAGAGAGGCAACTCTACCAGAGACAAAATCGACGATTCGAGTAGAATTTCTTTTCGAGGGAACACCTTGCGGATCGGACGGATTTCCGAGAGCCGCGAATTTGCGAACGACAGGGCGCAGCTTATCGGAACGTCGGCCGTGTTATTACGGGCGCGATCCCTTAAAAACCCCTCGAGTCGGGGTGCAGCCGCGCGCCGTATGCGCTCGCTCGCTCGCTCGCTCGCGGCAGGTTCTCTCCGCCTCGCGAGATGGTACAGACGGTCGGCCGAAAATGCTTGGTGGTCCCTCGAGTGGAGCCCGCGGGAGAAAGAACCACCTGCCGTAGGGATCGGTGGGGGCAAACTGCCGTCGTGCACCTCTACCCTCGTCCCCGTCGCCCCTACCCCCTTCTCGCTCCTGCGCCCTCGACCTCGCGCGAGAGATGGGGGCCCAACGTTCACCGACACCCTTCTGTCCCTTCCGCCCCTCCGCGCGGCTCCCCCACCATTTAACCGCCGCCGCCGCCGCCGCCGCCGCCGACAGGGTTGGCTCGTGCTGCGTCGATGCCCAGGGCACGAGGCGGATGGGGCTTCTCGCCTGGAGTCGGTTTCGCGTGTAAGAGACGAGAGGAGTTTGCTCAAGATTCGTATCGACTGCCGCGAGATCACAGGTTGAAAATATTTACACGACTTCGACGAGATATTTCGAGGGCGAGCGTAGGATTGCGTACAGCTCGCGCGTAACTAGAAAAATGGGAGAGATGTGCGATCGGGCGAGGTGAGGCGATTAAAGTTACTTTAATTACGCGTTCCTGGATTCCAACGGTTTTTCCTTGGAGAATAATCTCGCGCATAATGTGAAATCAGTCGGTAGGAATATTAATACTATTATAATTTATTTGTAATAGCATTAATGCAATGCAATTATACAGCATTAATGAATATAATTGTAGTGTAATATTGATTGCAACGGCGCGGAGAGAGGGCGGCAGAAAATGCGGGAGACAAAGGGAAAACGTCAGATAAATATATCGGCGGAGCGGAGGGGAGAGCGTTCGAAAAGCTCGTATTTAAGTACGGCCAGAAGGTGGGTCTATTACCCTTATGTCGCGCAACTCCGTACGCGTATTAAGCAAAATTGGCCGGAGCGTCTATTACGTAATTAAAATAATTAAACTCGTTCAGTCCGGACGCAACCGTATGGGTGCCGATTAGCGGACTTAAATTAGAGAATTATGTAAACGAAATTACCTCCTGCCAAAATTAGCGTGTCCGAATGTAGACGTCGTTATTGCCAGCGCGTTACGTATTTCATTCATCGCGCGCAATTTTCCGCGGTGCTTACGCCAAACGATATTTTTAATCGGCGGCGTCTCTATTAAAGCTCCGTCGTATTAAACGTCGACCCGCCGTGTACAGCGGTTTGGCCTTCCTTTTATTTAATAGAGATTCGTCCGGATTGCTTGCATATTGATGCATGCATTGATTGTTAATTGAGCGGAATTAAATTATAATGGCATTAACGTTCCTATCGAGGTAGGATAAATTTATATTGCACAGAGTGCAGCGTTCCATAAAAGGAAATTGCTAAATTCAATCAATTAATTGTTATACTTTGACGTCCGGTGGTAAGCTATGGCTTTTCCCGTTTCTGTAAAATACGCGGCGCGCTGCGTCATTTTACAATCCCCCGGGTATCCCATTGGGCCTCTCCGAGAAACGTTTCGTCTCGTCCCCGCGAAACGTAGCCCCGGTCGTGGTGGGTTTACAAAAATTTACCGCCTTCATTAAATTCCAGCGTCGTTTCAAGATGACGAAACGCAACGCATCCCCTCTCCCCCCCCCTCCCCTCTCTCTCTCTCTTGATAGCCAGAATGTACTATTAACCAGCGAGTTGAAGCAGTTCCTAGTGTCACCCAAGTACTTCACTCGCCGGCGCGTATCTCAAGAGGGGCCATGCTCTGAGGAAAAGAGGACAGTGTTGGCAACCCATTTTGGGGCCCATTATTAGTAGTCGAATTATTTGAATTCTTCGTAGCACAATCTTTTACGAATTTTACCCCGCGTAACTAAAAATTAGCTGTTCTATCTATATCCAAGATTTTTAAGTAATACTAATCAATGCTCTCAATTAGTTCCGTCGATATTCAGTAAGGCAAAGACAATTTTCACTCAAGAGGCACTAACCGAAACGTTAAGTTTTTTTAAATAAAATAATTGTTTTTGTTAAATAAGAAATCCAATTTTCGTCGCTGTGAAAATTACATCTTACAATTAGTAAACATTTTATAGAATTAAAATACAAGTTTTTTTAATTTAAAATGATCTATCCTTTGATATTTAATATATTCTTAAATTAAAGCAATGCATGTTTTAATTAATTAGTTTTTAAATTTTAGTTAGTATAAGCTATTAGGAGCCACCTAATGAATAATTTTCTTGAGTAAAGTAATATTTTTTTTTATTAAGATGTTTTTTTTTATCAGTGTAGTCGAATTATTTGGATTCTCCGTAAGACACTCTAATCCTTTACGAATTTTACCCCGCGTAACGAATAATCGCAATTAGCTATTCTATCTATATCCAAGATTGTAAAGTAAAGTAAAGTAATACTAATCAATGCTCTCAATTAGTTCTGTCGATATTCAGTAACGCAAAGACAATTTTCACTCAAGAGGCACTAATCGAAACGTTAAGTTGCTTAACTACAAAAAGGAACGGTCACAATTTTTCCCAGAGTGGAGCGTCACGAACAATCCAAATAATCCGACTACTAATTGTGGGCCCTAAAATGGGTTGCCAACCGTTTTTTTCCCCCAGAGTGCATGCGCGGCGAGGACCGCGTTTCCCGGGACTCTTATTTAGAACCGCTTTGCGTCTCGCGATTAAACGCCGCGATTAAAACGCCGCGAAGTGCTAAATAACAACGGGGGGGCCTCGGAGCCGAGGCGCTCGCGACAGAGGAACGTCCACTCGTAATTTCCGCTTTCCTGGCAGAATCGGTCGAAATTGCCGGTCGAATCGCGCGGGCCCTGCGCGCGCGCGCGCGGGGCGAGCGGCTTCTCTCCGCTCTTCACGGACGAGCCACGAATTAGCGCCTCTCGCACCTGCGGGCGTGCATCCGGCTCTGGCCGGTTACCACCACCGCCTCCGCCGACGCCGTTGCAACTCCGCCGCCACGGACGGTTGTAGTACGACGCGGCACACTGTGCGTGGCGGCACGAGTGATCCGTAGAGAGGGGGGCGACCGAAGATCCCTGAGGTGGGGGTAGCAAAAGGCGCGATGAGATCACAGGCTCAGTTGCCGTGCGACTGTCGAGGGGCGCACTAGCGGTGTCGACGGTTCCCCAGTTTGAGCTGCTCGCGGGGCTTATACCCTCGTCTCCCGTCGACGGAGACCCGCGGGGCGGACAGGCTCGATCGGTTCGGCTCGCCGGCGGAGGTCCGCGGACGGATTAGGAAAGAAAAAAAAAGAAAAAACACGGAGGAGGGAAGAGCGCAATTCCGTCCGACGGGGGAACCATCTTCGGCGGGGCGCGCGGCGGAGGAAGAGGAGCGGCGGCAGAGGCGGCGGCGCGAGGAGAGGAGGACACCCGATTTAAATCTCCGACCGCAGAAAGCCATTAATACCGTCAGGTGCACGCGCCGGGTCCACGCATACGCGCGCGGCGAGAGAAAGAGAGGCATCCGCCGCCACCGGCCCCCTCCCCCGTGCGGGAATGGAGTTTCACCCCCGTGCGCGCAGTTGAGCGATGATCGCGCGCGAATCGGCCGCGAGGAGCGCGTCGCCGTGTCTATCGTCCGACGCACCGTCGGGTCGCCGCAGCAGCTGCAGCAGCGTCAACGCTGGCGTGAGACCGCCGGTCGCGTCGCGGACGACTGACCACGGCTCCGGATCGCGGTAGCGACCGACGACGAGCAGCAGCGCCGACGTAAGGGCCGCGCGTGAGAAAGGGAGCGCGCGCGGAGAACTCGACGTGGGTGAAGAAACGATGCGGCGTGCCGCGCCTCCGCCTCCGCCGTCAGCGTCGCCGGCGCGACACTCTCGCGACGAACGTCACTCGGGTGTGCGTGCGTGCGGTGCCGCGGGGTGCCTGTGAGGAGGAGGAGGTGGTGGTGGAGGAGGTGGTGGAGGGATAAATAAAGAAATACACGTACGTGATATATCATTGACAGGTGGTGCGTTTGTTGCGCCGATCGCCGGCCGTTGTGTTTTTTTCGTTCTTTCCTTTCGTGTACGCGCGCACCCCCATCCCCCCCCTGAGTGCGCGGGCCAGCGGCGAGGAGAAGAAAAACACAGTGTGAAATTACTATCCCCCCGTGTGCTAGCGCGCGCGCGTGTGTGAAGTTGCTCTCCTCCGCGAACTCCGCCTCTCGCTCACCCCCGGGATAGCCATGGATAGAAAGCAGAGGATCGTCAGCCACCGCACGCGGGTCGCGATAATGAACCTATTGCTGCTCTGCACCGGTGAGTACCCGACGCCCGCGTGTACCGCGGGGGAAAGGTGGGGGAGGAGGGAGAGACTCCTAACGAAGGCGCGCTATGATTAAAAACTAATTCCGTTCGAAACACGCGCGCGCGCGGGACGGCGGTTAATTAATGAACGATTCAGGCATCGCGCGACCCGCGCGGCTCTCCGGCTGCGGCACGGCCGCGAACGTCGTCGCCTCCCGTATAAATATCGGATAAATTGATGATTCCGCGCGGCGCAACACGTTTCGCGGGGCGCGCGGGATCGAGGGAACGCGAAACCGGATTCGCGCGGACGTTGCGTGGGCCGCGCGGCGCGACCGGGAGGGAAAGTCCGACGATGCCTCGTCGCGCCGGGATGCCCGGTGCACCCTCCGGACGCGTTTCATCTCGGGTTGCTTTGAGCGAAATGCTATATATCGCTGAAATGCTCTTATTGTTAGACGGATCGCGTGACTCTTCGGCTCGTTTGATACGCGCGCGCGGAGAACGGATTGGAGAGGATAAAAGGAGGACGAGGGATGAGCCAAAATCGGCGAAACAAAACGCACGATGGTACATTAAACGCGAGGTAGCGTAAAAGTGGTACAAAAGTATTGCGCCGCTCTGCGCCGACTTTTGCATCGAGTGCGATTAATAAACGCTTAATATAAACGCCATTATGCGTTTATCGAGGGTGCGGTGAGGAGAATCAAAATTACTCAACGTAATTGATCGAGGTTTTCAACTCAATTACGGTGGACGAGTAATTTTAATTTTAATTTTTTTTACTCTCCGTTTGTTTTGCTCGCTCGGCGTCCCTCGTGTTGTTTTTATTGCTCAGCAAAGCCTGACCCGATATATTATTCTATACCTCTTTATTATTCGGCCGAAAGAGCTGAACTGTAGAAACAGTTTAATGCTGCCGAACCTCAATTTATAATGTACTCGTATAGTGCACTCATCGATGCAATCGCTAGACTCTTTTTCCTACACGATGGCGTTACTTGTATATTCTGATCGTGGCTGTTATAACACATGTTAATTTGCCGACATGATAAGCCTTTTTTTCAAATGTTGATTGTCATTGAGGACCACATGAGCTGGTCGAAACGTTTGACATAGTCAGCTTCAAATAAATAACATACAAAAGTCAACACTCAATATCTAGCGCCTGGCTCTTATTGCCCTCGCATTACGTCTATTAATTATCAATTTACAATATTAACTCTTTGAACTCGGACGCCCGCAGCGGGGAACAGTAGCTGCGTCGACAAGAAATGACACTGCGAGTCCCTCGGGATCGCGCGCATAATATATATATAAGTATATTTCGTCGTCAAAGCCGGGCTATTCTTTCCAGCTGTCAAAGCTGCAGCTCACGACAAAGGTCTGTTTTGCGTCTAACGGCCGACTCTTAGCGACGGCAACGAAACGATTAGCCTTCCTCGGGCCGGAACCGGCCACCGAAATTTCGCTCGAACCACCGAGTCATCTCGTCGCGCGTGCGGAGACGGGAATGAACGCGGCCGGGGGCCGCCGCGTTTTTTTAAAGCGCCCGAGGAAACGTCGATGGGCGCAGGTGGGGCGATCAGCGGCGCGAACTTGTAAGACCCGTGCCCGACGACGTCGCGCTTTCCGCGGAAATTACGGAAGACTCGGAGAATCACCGTCGGCCGCTGTTGCAAGCGGAATTACCGCCGGCCTCGCTCGCGCAATCGATGGCGACAAAAGCGAAGCGGCGGCGTAGACCGCGGCGCGACGGAACGAGCTGGATATAAAAATCATGAGAGCGTAGGGTTGCGAAGTGGCACGGAGTGTATCTCCTAATCGTTAACCGTCGTAGGGCCGGGGGGGCGGGGGGCGGAAGAAATCTGACGGCGCGCTATAACATCGGCGGCGGATCGATTAGGAAACGTACGGCGGCGACAGAAATATCGCCGGGGGCACAAAAGGACGCGCTTTTTGCGCGCGTTTTCTCCGCTTCTTGCCTCTCCGCGCGGCGCACGGATCGCAAGATCGACGTGAAATCGACGCTCTGGAAACTCTCGGCGCCGCGGGGCGAGAGACTCTCCCGAGATAATCTAGATCGCCCGGCGCACAAGAGCAACCTCATTCCGGCCGAATTGACGATCAAAGAAAGATCCCTCCCCCCCCCCCCCACTTCCCCCTCCGTCGACCGCCCCGACGAATTGTCGGGTATCCCGGCCGTGTTATAAAAGTAGATGGAAAAATTCGTAATCCAAGGACGAGCCGCCGCGGTCACGCTGCCGTTCTCCAGCGGCAGGTAGTTTCATGGAAGACTGCCTCGGAAACGCGCTACCAAGCAGCGCCAGCGTGACCGCGAGCCCCCGGTCTCCGTCGAGAACGACGCGGCCGGGAACAACAATAATCCGTCTTCGGCGACGTGGAATTAAAGACTTAATCGACGCGGCGGTTAATCGGTCGTCGTTAAAGGGACGAGGGGGCACTTTGCGTCCGGCAGCTCTCGCCAGTTTTCATTTTTCGTCCCCGCGGCTCGCGTAGACGACAGGTCTCGCGCGCGCGACTACCGGCGGGATTAAATGCCCGCGCTGATGAATCTTCGAAAACGTTGCCTTCCACCCGCGCCTCCATCGATATTACGCGGCGGCGCGTTAATGTTGCACCAACGTTCTTAACTCTCGGGCGTGTACCCTCGCTCCGCTGGGACCGCTAAGCTGCTTTCTCAGTCAGTTTCACTTTATTCGCGCTCGAGCGTACGCGATGAAGCCGCGACGCGTCGGCTACTCCGCGAGATTAAGCGCGAATTCCAATTAATTGTCACCGCGGTTGCCGATCAAAATTACGTATACATGTAAAAAAAGAGAGAGAGAGGAAACCCGGAAGGGGGAATCACGTCGAGTACACAGGATCCCGTTTACGGGTCCTGCGAGCGATTAAACGTTACGAGGGCGGGACGGAAAGTTTGCGCTCGCGAATACAACGCTCGTGGGTGCCAGAAATGCAGATGCACCTTTGCTGGTGCACCGATGTAAGACGGTGTTACACCAGATCGGCCCTTTGTGGCATGTCAAACGCGCGGGAATCTAAACAGCCGCCGGTTTCCGCTTTAATCGCTCTCTCTCGCTCGCTCTCTCTCTCTCTCGTTCTCTTGCGCGCGCGCGCCTCTCGCCTCTCGGCTCATCGTACGCGGTGGCTCGCAACGAGAAACTCGCAACGTTATAACGAGAAGGTGAGCGGAGAGGGGAAAGAGGTGATTTGCATACGCCCAAGGTTATCCAACCCGCGATAAACTCTTTTCCACCGCGTTCGGATCGCAGCACAACAGCCGCGGGCCCAAGACTCCGATTTGCGCGCTCGCAAAGTGCCTGGTCGAGTAAGCGCAAACAATCGGACTGCAGTCCCTTTTGCCACGGCCGGGCCACAGTTCGCGTGGGCGCACACAGGGCTTTAATTAGGGGAGGAAGGGGGAGAGGAGAGGCGCATAATTAGGTGCGGGGGCGTTGCAACGGAGCGCGGCGCAGTTACGGCCGATTACGTTGTTGCGGCGCGCTGCCGCCCGACAACAAAGATCGAGGGTAGCGGCGGATCGGCTCCTAAGGGCGGCTCGTCGGCCCTCGGAGGGTCGCATCGGCGCCGCCGCTCTCTAATGACGCCGCGTTTTCTAATCGTTGTTCCCCGCGCAAACGGCCACTTTCCACGAAGATCCGAAACGCGATTCGCAGACCCGCAACATTATCGCGCCGCGGAATTATCGGAAAGTAATTAACCGCTAATCGGCCGGCGTGGTAGCCGGGATTGGAAATCGCGACGCTCCTTCTTAACGCCGGCGATACATTTAACTGCCGGCCGCGGGGGCGGGCGTTGCGTTTCGAGTACGTTTACCTGCGTTTCGTCTGAAATACGATAGATGTAATCGCGTCGGTCACGCAGGCCGGTTTGCGCAGGAGAGTGTCTTCGGAATAACATCTGAGGCGCTTAAAAAGTAGCGCCCACAGAAAGAGAGAGAGAGAGGGAGAGGTGGAGCTTATCAGATAAACGTCTCGCCGAGCATTACGCTAGTTAATTAAGGGAAAAAAGCGGAGAGCTATTTGGTCGAAGACAGTCAGTTACCGGGGGATCGGCGGACATTTACGGGCGACAAGCGTTTATTTAGAGCAACGTGGCGCACCGAGTAATCGATAGACGTCTTTTGCGGGCGGACCTAATAAATTTCCTACTCTTATTGCCCGCCGAGCTTCTAAGCTGTCTGTCCACTCGATAAATTTCGACGACGCTTTCTGCAGCGCGCATTTCTTTAACGCGCGCGCGCGCGCGCGCGTGCTCGTCTCTCCCTGCAACGCAGGTGCGAGAGCGCCGCTGCCTCTCCGTTGTTGCATTACGAAAAGAAGATTACGAGCGTCTCGGTGTTAATGGCACACAGGAGGGTGCCGACGTACCGCTTCTCCTCGCGCGCTCGCGAAACATAAGCGATTAATGGCTTTTGTAAACGACCCCTTATTTCTTGTCGTCGCAGAAGTAACCCTGAGTTATGCTCGCCGCGAAAACGGCGCGGGGCGGCCGGATCAAAAATTATTCACTCCGGCGATCGCGCGCAACAGCCCCTTATTGCGCCTTATCTATCTTTATTTCCAATCCCCCCCCGCGAAGCGGTGAAGTGCCCGCGGGTAGGTATCGCTTTAATGGAATTTTAATTCGAAGATAATCTCCCGAGGAAGATTTTTTAAAACGGTGAATATAAAAATGAAAATTACGACGAATCGCGTCTCCCACTTTCTCTCTCTTCTTTTTTCATTACCCCCCCTCCATGTAGCGGTTTAAATTAATGGCTCTTCGGCTCTTCGGCTCTTCTAATTCGCACGTGGACTCGTAATGCGAGGAAGATGAACGGTCTCGCTCAATCAGGATTAGGAACGATAACCGAGGCGATATCGTTACCGATTAAGGAGCGTCGCGGGCGAAGGTACGATAGCCGGCGGCTATCGCTACGCGGATCTCGGTATTATTCATCATGGATTTTCGGTTGCTCACCGTCC